CCAGCAAGAGAAAACCGTCTGGCATGCTTTCAGGCGGCAAAGGTGGCAGAAGGGCGCAGGCAAGAGACCTGGGCTTAGGTGGCCCACCCAAGGCTTGCCCCATGGCTTTCCCCCCAGCCAGAACTCACTGGAACTCAGTTCTGGCACCTCTCAGGTGGGCGCTATTGCCATTATAAGAGAATGTGGGAGGTGAGTTCATGGTGATTCCTGGCACCTCTTTTTCTAGGAAAATAGCACTGGCTGGCACCTTCCCCTGGGATGGACATGCCACACCGCTTTGGGGAGCAGGGGAAAATCCATCTAGTTCACACCTGAACTTTCCAAAGCAATACGCCAACCAAGACACAGGTTTTCCTTCAAAATCCTCGCTTCTACAAATTTGGCAATGCAGTTCTCCAAAGCACCACAACAAAATGCAGATGTTACGGGAGAAGGTATACAGAAATGCACAATTCATAAAAGCAACATGCTTGAATCCTGGGTAGACCAAGTCTCCTTTTACCTGTCTACTTTCTGGTACCCCTGGATACATCTTGGCAGCTAGAGGCCCAAATATCCTCTAGGGCTAAGCGTGCCTTTTACCAGCTTTGTCTGGTTTGCAAACTGTGGCTCTTCCTAGATGGGGATAGCCTGACCACTGTAGTCCATATTTTGGGAACCTCAAGGCTAGATTACTGCAATGTATTCGGGGGGGGGGGGCTGCCCTTGGATCTGCTTCACAGGCTCCACCTCGTGCAGAGTGCTGCGGCCAGATTGCTGGTGGGGGCCTCGGGCTGAGAAAATGGGACACCATTGTTAAAACAGCTGCATTGGTGGCCCATCTATTTCTGAGGAAGTTTCAAGGTCCTTCTATTCATTAACAAAGCCCTGACCATCTGAGGTCCAGGCTGCCTCAGGATGTCAGGAACTCATATATCCCAGCTTGATCACTGAGAACATCTATGGGAGTATTGTTAAACCAGAGGGAAAGGGGGAGACATGCTAACTTGCTATGTTATTATATATCTCATGCACAGATGCAGAATCAATTTAACAGCCTGGCTGAAATTTCCCAAGAGGCATCCCTCTGTCTGAAGTTGGAAATAGCAAGATGAACTAAATGGGTTTCTTGGCAAACCCAGCAAAGTGATTCTTCTGTTCTTATGATCTACATAGGTCAGGAAGGGAATTTCCACACACAACCCTCATATTTGCTCGAGGGTTAGCCTGATTCTGCCCTGGATACGCTTCCAGAAGGGTTTTTCCTGTGGGATCGGTGCTGATTAGTACCAGTTATTATTGTATTCACTAATGAATCACTTCCCTCGAGGCACGCAACATATGCAAGTTTTAATTTTATTATTTATTTTATTGCATTTACCTCTCAGCTTTTCCTGCAGGGAGCTCAAGGTGGTCCTCCTCCACCTCCTCATTTAATCCCCACAACAGTCCTGAGAGGTAGGTTAGGCCAAGAGGCAGTCACAGGCCCACAAGGTCACACCCAATGAGAGTCATTGCTGAGCAGGGGGATTTGAACCCGGGTCTCAGACCAACACCCTAACTACTACACCACAGTATCTTACACAGCAACCATAAAACATTATGTCAGTATAAATGCTAGCCTGTATCCCACCCTGTAACCTACCTCCATTGAATCTAGATTTACCCTTTCCGGAGAAAATCCGACAAGTTAAATACAAGTTAAAGCAAGTTAAAAACGAAAATGAAAAAAGACCCATTTGCGTTATCTAATCGGAACGATCTGTTATTGTATTCCTGTGTATTTATATTGTAAACCACCCTGTGATCCTCAGATGAAGAGCAGTATGGAAATTTAATACATTAAGAAAAACACACATCTGAAATTGCAGCATTAAGCCTTGGTCACTCACATCAAAGTCCAAACGCTCAGAAACAGATTTCATTAGAAAGCTGGTGCTCTTGAGAGCTGTTTCGCGCTCATTGATTTTTGTGGAGTCAATCCAGCCATTTGCAAATTCACAAAGCTTTGGCTACTGGCTGGATCAATCATGCCGGGACCATAGAGGGGACAAATTTAAAAAAGGGGTTGTTTTGTAAAGGAGAAAGTTTGCTGCAATTTGTTCTACTTCATCATCATCATCATCATCATCATTATTATTTTATACCCCACCTTTTTCCCTGACAGGGACTCGAGGCAGCTTACAAGCAAAATAAGTACAACTTGAGATATAGAAAAAAGAAACCATTAAATGAAACACATTGAACATTAATAGAATTAGAAATTAATTGGCTGTTGGTTTGTTTTTCTTTTACTGTGTATTTTGTGTTCTCATTTTGTATTTTCATGTTGTGAACTGCCCTGTGATCTGTCATTTGTGTGTTTGTGATAATTACAATAAAATAACATACACCTCACCACAGCCATAGCCATGGAATGCAGGAAACATCCTTAGACCAAGCCCAGCCATTGATCCGCCAACCTTGGTGTTGGCCACAGGTAATGATGATTGGCAGTTGGCCCTTTGGGGTTTTAGATAGAGATTCTTTTCCCAGCCCCACCTGGAGATGCTGAGAAGTGAACCTGGGACCTTGAGCATGCAAAACAGATCCTCAACCCCTGAGCCATGGCCCTTCCCCTAATGCCATCAGCAGAGGACATATCTTTGAAAGGAAACGGATGTGTGCTTTGCACAAACATTCCTAGCAGAACAGAGGCCCAGTTCACCATCAGCATCCACAACATGTGAGTTGGGCACAGACGCCCCCCATGCAATCATTTCAACAGGATCTGCTGCCTCCCCCTGCTCTGACATCTTGGGGGCTCCCTTACCACTAATATATCCTGCAGCGCCTCCAGAGAGGGGGCCTCCGACAGCAAGCTGGTGAGCATGTTGAGGCAGGCGTAGACCATCTGCTGATAAAAGTCCTGGAAGGAAAGAAGCAAAAGCAGTTAAAAGCTGAAGACCCCCGTGGAAATCCCATGGGCTCTGGAGCCTTCTAGTCCACCATCCCCGTTCCACAGTAGCCAACCAGATGACCCAGTGGGAAACCCACAAGCAAGATGTGAACTCCTTGGAGGTTTTTAAGCAGAGGTTGGATGGCCACCTGTCATGATTCTATGGTTCTATGCTGACTGGGGCCAATGGCAGCACATCTGGAGAAGCACACATTCTTCAACTCTATTTCTTTATAAAGAAAGAATAGTCTTTTTGCAGCCCGTAGCCAGAATGAGAAAAAAGGGAAAGAGCAACGGGGGGGGGGGCCTGTTGTGGTAAGACTTTATTTCTATACCACCTGTCCGTTGCCCAGGTGAGGAAACACCTTTTGAATGGCACACAGAAACAAGAGAATCCAGTTAGGGACCCAGTATATTAGGGCTATTGCAATAGGGCAGCCTTGCCCTCCAGCTGCTCAGCAAATTCGTGACAAAGCTTATGCAGGGGTTCAAACACAGCGCTCAAAGAGTCATAAACATCAAACGTTCTTTGACATACACCAAGAAAGGTTACAGGTCATGGGATATAAAGATACAGGACTCCACACTGGGCTCAACTTCCTTGGGGTGTCCCAAACCATTTGGCCCTAACTATCGTACTTTAACCTCCATTGCCATAGCAATCAAATCTTCAGAGGGGGCTGTTGCTGTTGTTGTTTATTGAGAAGGCCTTGTGGCAGCTGCCTCACTGCAAGAACGGAGGTTACAGGGAAGCAGGCAGAGGGCCTTCTCGGTGGTGGGGCCCACCCTGTGGAACACCCTCCTATCAGATGTCAGAGCGATACATAATTAGACTTCCTTCTGAAGACACCTGAAGGCAGCCCTGCATAGGGAAGTTTTAAATATTTGATGTCTTGCTGTGTTTTAATATGTTGGAAGCCGCCCAGAGTGGCTGGAGTAACCCAGTCAGATGGGCAGCATATAAACAAACGAGCAAAGAAAATTAAATGCTGCATAGGAGGAAGGCATGAGAGTCACAAAATGCAGGCATGCAGGAATCATTCGTGGATGCATTCTAGCCAAAGGTTAAATGCAGTTAATATTGAAACATGATTAAAATCAAAAATATACACCCAAAGTCTCTGGTTGTTACATCATTGTGATGGGCCAAGTGTCTGTGGCAGCATTATCTGTAGCTTACACGGCCCAGACTCTCTGCCCTGGCAACTCCCTTTTCCTCCATTCATATCCCTAGAAGCAGAAGGTCCAGTCACCTGGCTCTGTGATGATTGCCTGGGACTCCCGGCTTTGTGTTTTGTAAGTTTCAAGGAAGGCAACGAAAACACCTTCTTGATGCTTTTCTTAACTAGCTCAGACCGAAGCATGGAGTCCATAGGTGGTCTCACGGCACTGAAGAGGAAAGAGAAAGGAGAGGAAATGCTCAGCACCCAGCAGTCCATAAACCTGGTGAGGAAATATGCAGTGTGTCTGGCCAAGGGTATGGCAAGGGAAGGGCCAGGAATAGGTGGGGCAGTGAGAAGTACCTCCCTGTACTTACGTCATGCAGCTGATGGTGACGATGGCGTGGTGCAGGACAGAAATAGAGAAAGATCCCAACGGCTCCTCTTCAATGACTTCCTGTTGTGGGGAAGCACACAGCACGTCAGAGACCTGGAGGCACCATCGCTGCCACCACCACTCCAAGCCCTGACTTGTGCTCTCTCTCCAGCCCAGCCCACTGGACAGCACCTTTGCAACTGGCAAGTGGGTCCTCCTAGGGGAGAAGAGTGGGCTTCCTGGATCTGGGAATCAGATCCATCTTTCACCTGGACAGAGCTCTACCTCCTAAGAGCATAAGATCAGCCTTCTGGACCAGGCCAATGACCCTTCTAGTCCAGCATCCCGTTCTCACAGCAGTGAGAAACCAGGGAGCAGACCATGAGCCCAAGAGCCCTCTCCCCGCCTGTGGCTTCCAGCAACTGATGTTCAGAAACATTGCTTCCTTCCGCTGTGGAGGTAGAACACAGCAATCATGGCTAGGAGCCATGGACAGCCCTCTCCTCCTGGGAGAACCTAGCCTCTTTTCCTCATTTGACACCCTTACGTCAGACATCTCAATCTTCCTTGCAATGACTGCATGGCCAAAATCACGCAGCGCCATCAGCATCTGAGATAAATGGCAGTATGAAGCCACACCGACAGCCTCAGAAATTCCCTAGGGAGAACGATGCACGTGTTATGAGGAAAAAATGCTCATTTTCCCTTATGGGGTACCCAAGAGCCCATAGAGTCCTTTTGTAGGTTCTCTATTGGTAGGAGAAAATAACCAACCAGAGAATACTGAAAAGAAAAGCAGCTAGTAAGCCTGATCTTTATTAACTGTTGCAACAGGGTGCTCACAACCACACGCAGGAAGCAGGAGGGACCCCAAACAATGACATGCAAGCCCTTATATAGACATTTTAAATTTGCCCACCCTGGAGCCCAAGACCTGCCTCCCCCAATACATCATACATACATCAGAGAAGGGGCGATCTACAACAGAATCCTGTCTGACACAAAACCTGTTGGTGGGGTTAAGGTAAAGGTAAAGGTACCCCTGCCCGTACGGGCTAGTCTTGCCAGACTCTAGGGTTGTGCGCCCATCTCACTCTATAGGCCAGGGGCCAGCGCTGTCTGGAGACACTTCCGGGTCACGTGGCCAGCGTGACATCGCTGCTCTGGCAAGCCAGAGCCGCACACGGAAACGCCGTTTACCTTCCCGCTTGTAAGCGGTCCCTATTTATCTACTTGCACCCGGGGGTGCTTTCGAACTGCTAGGTTGGCAGGCGCTGGGACCGAATGACGGGAGCGCACCCCGCCGCGGGGATTCGAACCGCCGACCTTTCGATCGGCAAGCCCTAGGCGCTGAGGCTTTTACCCACAGCGCCACCCGCGTCCCTGTTGGTGGGGTTACCTGGCTGCTAATGGGTTTACCTGGACAGCCTGGCTATTCTTTACCTGGACAGCCTGGCTATTCTTTCATGATGATAACTACTTAATTCCTGAGTCCAGGTCACAGGCTCGCCCTATTCATATCTTAAAAGTGCCTTTAAGGCAGGATTTGTGAGCAAAGAGACAATGGGGAGGTTTTTCTCATTTCCTCCCTCCTTGCAGAGAAACATTTGAGGTCAGTTTGGGAGAGACAAAATGGTTTCAGGACTTTTTCCTGTACACTTTCAGACATGTGGTTTATATATTTATATATGTGTTTCCTTGGTACATTTATTTTATATCTTAGACCTTATAATTCTCATAACACTTTTTTGTCAGCAGATCCCACTAATAGAGCACATTTATGTACATTTTTTTCAAATGCAACACTTTCCCCTAAAATACGTGTTTATTCAAACATTGGTTGGATGACTGCATCACAAAATTACCTGTGCAAATTTTAAAAGATAGCAATGTTTTGTTTCAAACCCCACTTTTGGTGGGGTAGCAAGGGAGGTGGAGAGGAGAACTGAGGTCTCCCATGGACAAAGGGGTGAGGTGGGGCAGTACCTTCTTCATCGTCAGTGTCCTCCAAGTCAGCCAGCGTGGGGGCATTGGGCAAGGCGTAGATGGGTGACATTCTGACTCGGTTTAGCTTGGAGATGCTGTTGATGGTCATCGAGCCAAGCAGCATCGGGTTGTCTGGAAACAAGGAAGCTATTACTAAGTTGCTGGCATGGATGCCACAACTCTGTAGAAGTACAGAAGAGTCACAGAATGTGGTGCCTTCTGAAGAAGAATCTCAGCTTGCTTGCTTGCTTTTTGCAAAAAGCGAGCGCCTAACCATCACAGCCGCAAAGATAGGATTGGCAGCACGCAGAGTGCTGCTGCTGAAATAGGAATTTTTCTGCTGCGGAACAGCTCCCGTTTCATTCCCCACTTCCCAAAGACAGAATTACAGGAGCAGACATCCCTAGGAGTAGTTTTTTTTAATATGCCACTGTCACTGCGAGAATCCTAATAGCGACTAACTGGGAGAATGATAAAATCCCTTCCAGGTCAGAATGGTTACAAAAATTAGTTGAATATGCAACTAGTTTAATAAAGCATTTAAAAAGAATAAAAGAAAACAGGAAACACACTTGGCCATGAAGTTCACTGGGTGAGACCTTAGGCAAGGCAGTCAGTCAACATGGCCTACCTCACAGGACTGTTGTGTGGGGGAGGGAAGGAAAAGATCAGGGCAGTGGGCTGGCAGTCCCTGCCTCAGCCTGGTCTCCCTCACAGGGCTGTTGTGAGGGAGAAGCACCATGCAATGAACAAGAGAGGGAAGAAAGGCTCTTTGCGGCTCCATCCCTCGGCCGTTTCCATGGCAACCAGGCATGCCACCTCCACCTTACCTAGGATGTGGGTCACCCCCAGGGTGAGCTTCTCCAGGTAGGGCTTGGTGCTGCTAGAGCTGCTCACGCTGCGCAGGGCCTTCTCCTCCATCCTCTTCCTCCTCCCTCCCGCATCAGCCCCTGAACACCTGCACCTGCACACCTGTGTTGTTGTTGTTCAGTCGTGTCCGCCTCTTCATGACCCCATGGACCAGAGCACGCCAGGCACTCCTGTCTTCTACTGCCTCCCACAGTTTGGTCAAACTCATGCTGGTCACTTCAAGAACACTGTCCCACCATCTCGTCCTCTGTCGTCCCCTTCTCCTTGTGCCCTCCATCTTTCCCAACATCTGGGTCTTTTCCAGGGAGTCTTCTCTTCTCTTCTCATGAGGTGGCCTAAGTATTGGAGCCTCAGCTTCAGGATCTGTCCTTCCAGTGAGCACTCAGGGCTGATTTCCTTCGGAATAAATAGGTTTGATCTTCTTGCAGTCCATGGGACTCTCCAGAGTCTCCTCCAGCACCAGAATTCAAAAGCATCAATTCTTCGGCGATCAGCCTTCTTTATGGTCCAGCTCTCACTTCCATACATCACTACTGGGAAAACCAGAGCTTTTACTATACGGACCTTTGTTGGCAAGGTGACGTCTCTGCTGTTCGTACACCTGTACGAACAGCCAAACGGGAGGGACAGCACCATGTGGGCGTTTTTTTTACCCCTCTCGCGATCCGTAGCTCAGAAGCTTCACCGCGAAGGCTTTCGGGAAACGCAGTTCTCCTTTTCATTCTCTTTCATTCGGTGGCCGTTCTGTAGGGGGAGGAATGGAGAGCAGGTACTACGAGTCCCAGAAGGCAATGGGAGAGCCGGCTTCTTCTCCTCCTCCTCCTCCCCTCCTCCTCCCTTCCCCCCCACCCCGTTCCGAGTCCTCCCCATTGGCCGGCTCCTCCGACTCCGTATCTGGGCAAACCCCGGTCCCCGTCAGCCAATGGGAGCCGAGAGTCGGGCGCGGGGGCGTGGCTGGGCGGAGAGACGTTGGGGTTGGCGGTTGCTTGGAGGTGCCGGTTGTGGCTGCTCGTTGGAGTAAGGACCGTCTCTTTACCTCAGGAGGAACTGGGGAGGGGGGGGCGGGAGGAGAAGGAGAAGCGGGGGGGGGGCTAATTTGATGAACGGGGGCCAAGGCTGCCATGGTTCCTGAGCATGTGCAGAGAGCCGCCTCCGTCGCCTCAGGAAAGACGCCCCGCCGAGTGCGGAGCCAGGCCCGGGGGTTACGGGGAAGCCCCAGGGCGGGGGGGGACCTTGGCCTGCCAGCCTCGCTCTCTCTCTCTGGCCCCTCGCCCTCCTCTGCAGGGCTGTGGTGAGGGAAGCGTTGCCTGAGGGAAAGAGCGAGTGCTAAACAGGGCTGCTTCATGTTCTACTACAAATGCTGGTGCAAGACCATATAACACCGGTCTGAAAGAACCACAGAGGGGGGAAATTCAAGCATTTTAAATCTTGAATAGCATTTATTGAAACGATAAGCTGTTTTTTATTGTAAGCGTTTCCCCTGTACTACTGCATTTAGCAAGGTAGCCTTTAACATTCACACATATTGTATTGATAGTTATATGATATATTCACGGGTGGACTTTTGTACACTTTTGTCAATAGCACCTTGGGCACAGCAATCTTTTGCTCCTGGAAAAACTGCGTTGTCAACCAATTAATAAATAACATCATTAATAAGGATTAAAAAGGGGGCAAATTGGTTGGTTTTTTATTGTTTAGAAACTTGTGTTCTCTTCAGTTCTTAATTCATCTGGGGCCGAATATGCAGCCTCTGGTGCTTGAAATACTTTTATTGTAGATTCAGAAACACTTCTTCCATGTTAATGATTGCTTTTTAAAATGCTGGTTTTAATTTTCAGGTCCCTGACAAAGGAGGAATGAAGAGTGCTTCTCTGAAGGATTTATGTCCTGAAGACAAGAGGCGCATAGCAAACTTAATTAAGGAGCTTGCAAGGTGAGGATAAACTGTCTGATAATGCGTCAGGTTTAGGATGAGACTCTCTTTCCTTTTTTTTATTGAATATTTTATTAATTTCCAAATATAGCAAAAATAAAACAACATCAATACAAATTCAATATCAAACAAAAAAGTTGACTTTCCCCATGTCCCTTCCTTGGTTCGAATGTTTATCAACATACCACGTGTCCAGTGTAAAATAATAACTATTAAAATTGTGTCCATTCATAATGTAATTTTAAGTAGTCCTAGAACCCTGCCAATGTATTGACCTGTGTACATTTCTTCTGTATATATGCAATAAAGTCCTTCCATTCTTCCTTAAATTCGTTGCCCTCTCTTCTTAGTTTCATTGTCATTTTCTTTTCTTTTTTAAATGATATTTATTAGAAGTTTAGAGATTACAGAAAAAAGGGAAAAAAGAAAAAGAGAAAAGACAAAACAACAAAAAATTTAACATAGCCTACATTACAATACATTAAAAAAAAACATAAAAAGACAATATAACAATACAGCAAAAAAAACCAATAACACTAAAACACACATCCAATATTCCATATCTTTACCTTTCATTTACTTGTTTCATTGACCTGCTCACACCTCCCTTTTTTGTATTCTAGTTCAATTAATTGTTTCAGCAAATTCTTTCCATCTTTCTCAATTTTTGTTCTATAATTTATCTTAATGATCTAACCTTAAATTTCCATTTTGGCCCATTATCAGCTTTTACTTAAGTCTTTATTACCTTTCTGCTAAAACCATGTAACTTCATTCCAGCATCTTTCTAACATTCATTAATTTTGCAATGTTTTTGTAAATATAATTTAATTTTTTTCCAATCTTCTTCCACCGACTCTTCTCCCTGGTCTCGGATTCTGCCAGTCATTTCTGCCAGTTCCATGTAGTCCATCAGTTTCATCTGCCATTCTTCCCTGGTGGGTAGATCTTGTGTCTTCCAATGCTTTGCGATAAGTATTCTTGCTGCTGTTGTAGCATACATAAAGAAAGTTCTATCCTTCTTTGGCACCAATTGGCCAACCATGCCCAGGAGAAAGGCCTCTGGTTTCTTCAGAAAGGTATATTTAAATACCTTTTTCATTTCATTATAGATCATCTCCAGTATGCCTTAATCTTTGGGCACGTCCACCAAAGGTGAAAGAATGTACCTTTAGTTTCATAACATTTCCAACATTTGTTATTGGGCAAATGGTAAATTTTTGCAAGCTTGACTGGTGTTATGTACCACCTGTAAATCATTTTCATTAAATTCTCTTTTAAGGCATTGCATGCCGTAAACTTCATACCAGTGGTCCATAACTGTTCCCAGTCAGCCATCATAATATTATGTCCAACATCTTGTGCCCAATTAATCATAGCAGATTTCACCGTTTCATCTTGAGTATTCCATTTCAACAGCAAGTTATACATTCTTGACAAATTCTTAACTTTAGGGTCTAACAATTCTGTTTCCAATTTTGATTTTTCCACCTGGAAGCCTAATTTTTTATCCAAATTGTATGCCTCCATTATTTGATAGTAATGGAGCCAATCTCGTACTCTATTTTTTAATTTTTCAAAGCTCTGCAGTTTTAACCTGTCTCCCTCTTGTTCCAAGATTTCCCAATACTTCGGCCATTTGGCCTCCATATTGAGTTTTTTCTGAGCCTTTGCTTCCATTGGTGACAGTTTCATTGTCATTTTCACCATTTCAGCATATTCCATTAATTTAACAATCTTCCTTGGTTGGGAAACCTTCTTTCCAATCTTGTGCAAGCAATACATATGTGGCTGCAGTCTCATACATAAATTCTTTTGTAATCTAGGTATATCTACTCCTGTAATTCCTAGTAGGAATGCTTCTGGTTTTTTGACAAAAGTTATTTTAAACATTTTTTTCATTTCATTATAAAACATTTCCCAATAGTTTTTTTTTACCATTTTACATTCCCCCTACATATGAATAAACGTCCCGTTGTTTTCCATTTCCAACACTTATTTTCTTTAGATTTGTACATTTTTGCTAATTTGACTACAGTTAGATACTATCTATACATCACTTTCGGGATGCGGGTGGCGCTGTGGGTAAAACCTCAGTGCCTAGGACTTGCTGATTGTAAGGTCGGCGGTTCGAATCCCGTCGTTCGGTCCCAGCTCCTGCCCACCTAGCAGTTCGAAAGCACCCCTAAGTGCAAGTAGATAAATAGGTACCGCTTTATAGCGGGAAGGTAAACGGCGTTTCCGTGTGCGGCACTGGTGCTGGGTCGCCAGTTGCAGCTTCGTCACGCTGGCCACGTGACCCGGAAGTGTCTTCGGACGGCGCCGGCTCCCGGCCTCTTGAGCGAGATGAGCGCGCAACCCTAGAGTCGGTCACGACTGGCCCGTACGGGCATGGGTACCTTTATACATCACTTTCATATAATTTTCTTTAATCGCTACACATGCAGTAGATTGAATCCCACTCTTCCACAGTTTCCCATTCCTCCATCTGAATATTGTGTCCCACATATTGTGCCCATTTAATCCCAACTAAGATGAGACTCTCTTTCCAATTACTGTTATGAAATGTAAGCATTCATGTTTATTAAAAGCATATGACCACTCCTTGCTGGCACAGGTATGATCAAGTAGGGCATGGAGCAGTTGTCTGCCTCTCTCTGTTTCAAGAGACTGCTGCTGTTTAAGGAAGGCCTTCAAAGGGTTTCCTACAAAATTTGTCCCCATTGTGTCATGGATGGTCTGAAAAGTTGTGCCCTATCTTACTTTGCTGCTTCCCCCCAAGCACCTACAAGTTCTTGCTTTGGACATACTAACATGTGACATACTAACATGGGGCCTGATAAACATTTGTGTTTGGAGACTCTGTGTAAAACCTGCACCCATGTGGTCCTGAGAGCACACTCCCTCCCAAAGGATCTTTAGTGGGAGTCACAGAGTGCTGTCCTTAATGTGTGCACCTGAACCCTCCCAAACGACAAAGGTGAGTCCACATGAAAATAATGTAAAAAATAAGAAATTTATTATTATTGACACACATCATTTTCCTTAGGCTTCATATCGCCACATATCTCAAATATTGATGGCGCTGCGTGATTTCGGCCATGCAGTCATTACAGGCAAGAGTGAGATGTCTGAGGTAAGGGTGTCAAATGAGGAAGGAGCATTGCAAGAGTGTAGCTCAGCCACCCCCAACCTGGTGCCCCTTCCCCATCCATGTGTTTTGAA